AAGTCCACCGGAAGCGCTGAGTAGTCGTAGGGGTCGTACCAGCCATGGTCGGCGCGCCACGAGTCCTTAATGAGCTCGTGCGTGTGACGGGCGCCCGTGTCGATGGAGCCAATGATTGACACCCGAGCCATTGGTCGTCTTCCAGACTTCCGGCGCACCGACCGTCTGCACGCCCCATTGGGGATTGGGCTGGTCCGCGGCGGCGGTTTCGGTGACCGCTTGCGTGAGCACGGGGTCGAGCGAAATCTCCGGCAGGTGCTCAATCGTCTTGATGCCGCGGTGCTGCGCGAGCTTGTCGACAGTGGCTTGGTCGGCCGCCTTGATGAAAGTACCGGGCACGATCCAGAGCGACTTGGTCTCAAAGCCCTTGGTGACGTCGTCGATGGACTTGGTGGCTTCTTCCGTACGCTCGCTGAGAATCTCAAAGACGTCCTGACGCGTCGCGCCCTCGGTGATCATGCCGCTCTCGAGGGGGCTGTCGGCAAAGCGCACAAAGACGTCCGTGGCGCCGTCGACCTCCAAGGCCCGCAAGACGGAGCTAGCGACGTTGGCGTGGGCCGCCGTGGCGATCGCAGCGATAATAAGAGCAGCCTTCATGTGGTAAGTACAAGGCAACTTGTCGAATGAAGAATGTTGTGAGCGAGCGGTCGAGCACAGAAGGCACTGCAATTTATCCTGCACAGCAAGATGAAGCACATTACACTATGAGACAAGCGATCAAGCTTATTCCTTGCGGCGGCGCCGGCGTCATACCCGATGCGACTGTACAGAGATCCTCGTGCGAGATCAAGGACAAGTTGACAAGATAGAGGAGAAAACATGTAATAGAGACACTAGTAGATGCGAATGGCGCATATTGGTTGCAGTGAATTGCTGCATCGTGGTGTCTTCTTCGGACGACAGCTTTGTTCCTGGCGGTGCACGCGTGCTCATCAGGCGTGTCTTTTGAGTGGGCCAGCTATGTGTATCATCTATCTAGTTTTCATCCTCGCAAGACCCGTTCTAGCTGACTTGAAATTGAGTATTACGTAGTAGAACGCAGCGTCCAGTACAACCAGATATCAGCGCATTAGCTCTGCGCGTCTGAAAACTAAACACGGCCACAACGCAAAGATGCGGACAGGCGACAAGTGTGTCCTTGGAATACCATCTGATCTGTCAAACGACTGACATGTCACCTTGCAGTGACGCGTACCGGGATCGAGCCTTGCGTGATCATGCACGCAACGGTTTCGACACAGCTGTCCGCGCTGAACGTCATACAATTGTACTCACCGAGACCTTGCAGACGTAGTACAAAGAGCGTGACGGCAAAGCTTTGAGCGGGTGATCTCCATGTCTATCGACAAGGTGCACCAACAACACTCCACGCTGTGCTGCGTTACGCGGTCCTCAGGCTGCGGACAGCGTTTCGGGCACCGGTAACTTCATGCGACGGCGGCGTGCGAGAGATATTACCGCGACACATATCCAAATATACAAAAAGTCTATCCAAATATATTTGAGCCATGTAAAGTGCTACACCATGTCACGCCCCATTGACCTGCTGCGATGTCGAATCCGAGTCTGCTCGAGACGCATCCCGTGTCACCGAATCCAAGGATCGATGCGATATGCAAGCAGGCTCTATACAAAAGAGAAATGCGCATGCCACGTCAAAGTTTAAGGGCCACTTTGAGGCACTACTACTTGGCATTGTGCTGGCACTGTATTGGAATGGGAATAACAGTTGAGTGCACCTATCGTTCTATCGTGAGATGGAGGCGCCGAGGCACGAAGCCGCCACCGCAGAGGGTCTCCAGAGACCGAACCTGTGGACGGGATAGCAAACGTGGCTCACCCAGCAGATTGATATTGGACGAGAAGCGATGCGGCGTCGTAGCAAAACAAGTGGCGTTGGAGCTGCACGCTCAAGGAGGATCGCAGTTGCTAGATGGAACACTATCGTGTCAAAGGCAGTCAATGCAGCGCTATGATGAGAGCATGCTGCTCCCGGTGCAGTTGCGTGCCTACCCGGAGCCACCGAGTCGCGTGGGCGCCTTCATGGCACGGCTTTTTGCATGACCAGTCGCCTCGTCCTGTTCACGGCGAAGGACGACCTGTTCATCGAGATTTGGGCGCTTCCAGATGCGTATATACGAGAAGGCCAAAACGCTTGACGACATGTTCGAGGACACTGTCACGGCCGCCGCGATAGACAAAGCAATGCTGGTCAAAATTCTCTGGGTCCTTATTGACCGTCACGGCCATGGTCATCCCCGTCTACTACCTTGTCGAGGCGTGGCGACGGTTCAAAAATGCCGGCGCACAATGTATCGTGCGTCAAATCTATGCCGTTGGTCGTCCATTTCGCCAAGCACAATCAAGATCTTGGGCCATGCATCACTATGCTGTTTTCTGTGTCGAGCGTGCAAGACCCTGAGACGTCAAAATGGCAGTGTAACAAGATAATCAACATGAGACCCCAAAAGAAGACGTCCCGTAACCTAAGAACTCGAATCATGCTAGCACTGCAGTCGACTATGCCGGAACAACGACGAATAGAATGAGCACGGAAATTGGACGCGGTACAGTGCCGTGTCAGCTCCTGGTCTTTCGTACAATTGTAGTGTACTATTAGTGCTAGTACTTGCTACCAAGGGTATATAATAAATGCATTTATTATATACCCTTGTTGCTACGGTTCGATAGTGTTGTGGCTCACTCAGGGTCCCACCCGGCCAAGGACCTCTCCATTTCTTAGCGGCACGGCTTAGCGGCACAGCTTAGCGACACCTACGACAATGCATGAAGTACAACACTCTGCCCAATATGACCATGATCATGCATGTTGTACAAACGTCACGACATGAACGCATATGCCAATCAGGCTCGAAAGTGACAGCAATGTTAGTTCACAGAAGACAATCAAAAATTAAGCCGAGAATACGCTTTGAAATCAAATGTTTGTATTAAGTGGGACAAAGCTAGTAGGCCACCGCGTCGATCCACTGGTTGGTGTTGGCATTATGGCACTCCCAGACCTGCGCCACGTGCGTCGGGTTGGTCGGGTCCACGTCCAAGCACAAGTTGTTGTGGGTCGCGTGCTTGATCTTATGACCAGCCGCGTCGATGATCCACTTCTGGTTGGCGTTGGTGGCATCGCAGGCGTACGTATGGAGGCCGAACTTGTCCCCGT